TGCTATGGGGTTGGAGGCCATCGCTAGTAGGTAGGAGGCCATCGCTAGGAGGTTGGAGGCCATTGCTATGGGGTTGGAGGCCATCGCTAGTAGGTTGGAGGCCGTCGCTAGGAGGTTGGAGGCCATCGCTAGGTTGGAGGCCATTGCTATGCGGTTGGAGGCCATCGCTAGTAGGTTGGAGGCCATTCCTAATAGTAACGGAAAAGAAGCTTGGTATTTTTTTCCCTGAGCCTCAGATCTTCGCATCCCTCCGAGGTCGTGATGAGATGCAAAAGCTGGTGCGTGGACATGGAGCACAACGAGGTGATCTTTGTTAAGACTTTTCATTGGAATATATATATATAGGGGTCCTTTGGAAAGAGCTTTTCTGATTAGAGTTTCATGACTCTCTACATATATATATATATATTATTCATTCCCGGGAACCCAAACAACCAGAACAAGTTTCTGGTCGTTGACAACCCTGATCCTTTACGTCCCTTTTTCCTGGTCTCGCTATTTTCACCCATTTGGACCTGGAGCTTCTCTCGCCCCGTCGTGGCCCGTCCAGGTGGCCCAAGTCTACGCCAATCAGATCAAGGACCGAGTCGAGCGCTTTGGCCTGGAACACCCAGGCTCCCAGGCGCGGACTTGGTTCGGGTGAGCCGGTGCCCGCTGGTGCCCCTATCCGGTCCAGCCGAGCTGGTGAGTTGGATGGGTTTTCTTTTTCTTTCTTTGCATTTTGGAGAGCTTTGCTTCCAGGTGTGGTAATTGGTTGGACAGCCAAGGCAAATGGTGCGTGGTGCTGAGGGTTGATGAGTGTTGCTTTTGGAACGCTGAGTGTTGCTTGTGGCTTTGGACATATTTACGGGCTATCATTCACCAACCTGGAAACAGATCTACACCACTCCCTGAAGCAAAACTCATTCACAAATTTGCAGAGTTGGCATGTTTTGTATGTTTTGGTATACCGTACCCTCCCTCCCTCCAAACATGAAAGTGGAACATGGCCTGGCCCCAACACTTTGAACTCCACGAAACCATGATAGTTTCAGAGAGTGAACAAAACACCAACATACAGAGGGTCCCACCAGCTCCTTCTCTCCATGTCCGGTCTCCTTCTCCCCATGCTCCGGTTCTCCCTCGATCTCACCTCGTCCTGTTACCGTACTGGTCGTATGGTCGTACTGTTGAGTCTCGTTCCATCTCCAGGTCTCGTTCCAGTCCTACTTTGACTTTGTGGGACATCATCAGCTGCTGAATCCCTTCAAGTCCAAAGACCAGCAGAGCATCCTGCTGATGTGGACCTGGTCGGTTCCGGTTCAGCTGAAGCAGCTGGGCGATGAAGAGGTTCCGAGTGAGCGCCTAGCTGCTCCCGCAACCCGCGGGAAGGGGACGTTGGATCATGAGATAGTTGTGGCAGGGCTTGAACCATTTCCACATGACAAGCAGGTGCCATGTTCTCGGCCTGGAATCCGTAGGACATTCACCTCCTTCTTTCAGGCATACGAAAGCCATCACGAATGCCATACCAGGTTTTCATTAGGACTGCAGCGGAGCATTTAGACTTTTAGCTCTTTGAGATGTTCCAGTTCCACACTAACTAGCAAGCACAAACTCATCAGAGCCCAAGTCCCCAGCATGATGCACTGACATGGGGCCAGTCAGAGAGCATATTCAATGACCGCCGGGCCACAGAGAAATGGCTAGACAGGCTAGACAATATGTTCTTTAGTCCGAAAGACACAGCAACACCAACACCAACCACTCACTTCAACAGCACGTGTAGTACTTCTTCTTGCCATTTTTCTGGCATTTCCCATGACGGGGTGTTCTTTGGTTCTCGCTGCGTCCATCACCGTGGTGGCCGCTTCCCCAGTCGTTATAGGCAGAAGGCGGAGGACTTCGTGGTGTCGCTGCGGGACTTCATCGGTTCCATCGACGAGTTCGGAGGCACTGGTGCCATGGAGGTGAAGTTGACGGGGAACATCATCTTAGACCACGAGATGAAGGCAAGACGGAAAGAGGAGTCCGGATGGTTTTTGGGGTTTGGGGTTTGGTGGCGGTCCTCGTCCTCGTCCAAAAGCGGATGTTTCGTTTGTGTGTTTGGTTGGGTGCTTTTGTGGATTGCTTGCTGTTTGGCTGTTGGTTTCGCTTGCCTTGGCTTTGCTGCTTTTGCTGTTTAAGATTGGAGGCTGGGACGGGGGCAAGGATGGGTCTGGGCGGCTTTAGGGTTGTTGGTTTGGAGTATGAGACGCAGGCTCCCTGTTTTGCACAAGAGGGAGGGGATTGGTTAGGGTTCTATTCTTCTTCGGGATCCCTTTGGGGAGGCTCTCTTTTTGGGTAAAAACCACTGTCTGTTTGCTGTTTCTTTTCCCTGCAAACGTGGTGGTTGAACCATGTGTCGGAATGGGTTTTTCAGGGTCCCCTTCGGCCCTAGTGATGGAGGGATTCCTTGGGGTGGCTGGAGTAGCACCTACGAGTAGCGCCACGTCCTGGAGCATGTCTCAAGGCTGCAGACGATCAGGCGCTTAAGGCTTAAGCATAGCGCCACGGCCACGGCTGTGGGTTTGTGCTGATCCTCCGTCCTGTTTCGTTGGCTTTCCTGAGTGTTTCACCGGGCAACAAAAAGAACACAACAAAACACATGTTTGGCTGACTTTTGCTGACTTTCACACTCACCCAGTTTTTCTTGGAAGCCAGTGGAAGCTGATAGAATTGAGGAGGAAGATTCACAGGGTGATCCGTATCATCACTAGTCATTGGAATGAGATTTCAGTACCGGTCAACCTGTGAGCAAACCTGCCAAGCCTGCAGGTCTCAATTTTCGACTTCACCTTGCACGAAGTGAAGACCGTTTGGCTTCCCATCCTGATTCTGGGATATGTCCTGCGATCTGCACGGCTCTTACTTCTGGCATTGACGCCGATGCTCTTCGAGATCTTGGTCGGTTTCGGATTTCTGTACTTTGTGTCTTTGAGCGGCTTGAACATCAGCTTCTCGCCACTTCAGCCGGGGAACAGTGGGGCGCGTACGTACTTCCTGCGCCTCTTCGTACGGGGTTGGAGGCAAGGCGTTTGGCTTTCGAACGGAGAGGTCTCGGTCTCTCGGTCGGTTTCTGGCCTTTCAGAGGCTTCGGGTCGCGAAACGGCCGCGGGAAACCTCGGCTCGGCCGAGGCTACTATGCGCTGATGATCATGTTGATGCTCATTATGGCCCTCTCGTGGGACTATGCACTCTTCATGCTCACCCGTTACAAGGCCGAACGTGAGGCCGGCGCCACGGTGGAGCAAGCCACGGTGCAGATGGTGGCGAAGAGTGGCAGCATCGTCGTAGTCTCAGGCAGGTTTGCGTATCCCATGGCTGGGTGCTGAGGGATCGAGAGTTAATATCCAGCAAAAGCTGGACATCTGGCAATAGTTGGTTTCAATCTACTTACAAGATGCAGATTTACCCACTGAACGGGAAGTTTGAACATGAACACTCGTTTGTTTTTGGGTGCATACTCGTCAATTCAGAGTAAACATGGTTTCATGATGGTACTGTTAATTTCATGAATTCCATGTCCACTATATTGTTAAATCCACTTGCTTGCTGGTGTTTCACGCTAGTAGCAAAATGAACTCTTGCCCAATGTTGGGATCAATTGATCAATCGAACCTGCACTGACTGAGTTTGATGGAGTTTGCAAGCAAGTTTAGCAACTCCTCACCATCAGCGAGTTTGAAGAGAGATTGCCGGACCAATGCAGCCACCGGCAATGCCCATGTCCATGCCACCGTGCACATTCCCACAGTCAGGAATGACCAACCCGGCAAACCCCAGCCTTGCATGGGACCTAGCTGAGTCTTCTTTGTTGGGTTCTTCTTGGATCATCATTTTATCTTGTTTTTGTTCTCAGTTTCCGTAAACAGATTTCTGCCAATGGCACCCCGACACCCCTGTGACCCACCCGCCCGCCCGCCCAGAGCGGTGTGACTGACTCAACCTCCTCCTTTGGTGCCACGTCCAACGTGGAGCTGTCGTGGACTCACGGTCCAGGTGTGGTGTTGTCGATTTGTTGGTCCGTGATGTTGGGCCTCCCCGACATGTTCAAGACCTTCGGCATCGCCGCGGCCTCCGCGATCATGGTCTGCGCGACGCGGTTCAGAGGTGATGTCCGGCTGATGGGCGGGGTGGGCTGGAGCAGGAGAGGTGATGAAAGGTGGCAGATGTTTTGAGGTGCCTCCAAAGATTGAACAAAAAGGGGTGACATACTAGTATTGGTCCACATAGCATCACATATCAATGCGGCTTCAACCAGTTTGAATGCTGCTGACCAGTTTTCTATTCCGTCGGGAAACACGATAGTGGTGGCTGAACTTAGGGACGCTCAGCTCACTAAAACTACAATTAAATAGTTATAATAAGCACTGCCTCGTAAGAAGTTCCCTCCCTTCTCTTTTCTATACCCAAAGCTGTCGAGCATCCATTGTGGTGATCGCAACGGACATGCTGAGGGTCCGTGGTGGTTTTGCCCGGCAACAGCATCATCACACCTTCAATAATGGCTGGAGCAGACATTTCGTCTTCATGAATCATTGGGCCGATCGATGGACTTGAAGGTTATGCGTCTATTCTTGTTCGATGTCATGTTCATGTGCGAAATCCTCATCAGCGGAAGCATGCCATCCTTGTTGAAGGCTCCTTTGCCGGTCCGATCCCCAGCGGCCTTTACAGTGCTCACGGTCGAACTAGGTCTTTGCACAGCTCACCTTCGTGGCACCGGTGCTGGCGATCTTCCCCTGGCTGGGCCCGGAGGCCGGAGATCCCATGGAGGTGGAGCCCCTGAGCCCCACAGGCGCCGAGCCCATCGTGTGCGTCGCGCGTGGCGCGTGGCGCGTGCCGCGAGGCGAGCGGTGAGCCCGCCGTGTGCCGTCGCACCGTGGTGCTTCACCTCCGGCACCCCTCCAGGTGAGGCGATGCGGAAGGTGGAGCAGTTCCGACATGGGGTCTACTATCAGATCGGCAAGTTTCTGACGATGTTCCCATGCAACGTCATCGCGTTCCCCGGGAAGCAAACCATCCAGAACCGAGAGACCGGCAAGAACATCGGGGTGTTTTTGTTTTGTTATGTCTGTGTTTTTTTTTTGGGGGGGACGGCGGTTCAAGCATAGGACGATGGAAGTTTGGGTCGTGTTTTGGCGTCTTCGAAAGGAGCTCACAAGTGGTTCATGGCTTCTGTACACTTTGACTCACTAACATGGAAGTGGATGTCATTCCCTTGTTCGTAAAGGGAAGTAGTCTTCCACGGAACCATGCCATCCACGTAACCATGTGATGAGTTCGTCATGTCGTGTACTTGTAGTACATTTTCAGATGGTTCCGAGAAGAAGAGTTACGTTACATCTGATGTAGTAGATTTTCATCCAAAAAAGTACATGTACATGTACCTGCACCGAGAAGAAGAAGTCATTTTCAGATGCTTCCCGCTACGAACGGCAATGCTTTGATACTCCCCTCGAAGCTGATGATGGTCACCTCAATACGAGTGCCAATGCTGCGTGGCATGCTGCTTTTCCAATCACAACCTACATGAACCTACTGTGTGTCTTTCAATTAAGCCTCACACCAAGACCACTGATTGAAGTGGGAGAATCTATATACAATCGTGACAACTACAGTGACCACTACCGGCAACAACAACAGCCACAACAACAAGGTAACAAGGTACAAACAAAAACTATCCAAACTGCAGCCTTGTCAAAACACATCTTCTTGCTTGTCTCTACAAGGGGGTAGAAACATAATTGCAGCCCAGCTGTTGTTTTTTGACACCACCCTCCAAAACAACAATCCAACATGAAGTACAGTCGTCGTCATCGTCGTCGTCGTCACCGTCGTCGTCGTAGCAGGAGGAGTAGCAGCAGTAGCAGTAGCAGTAGCAGTAGCAGTAGCAGAAGCAGTAGGAGTAGGAGTAGGAGTAGGAGTAGGAGTAGTAGTAGTAGTAGTAGTAGGAGTAGTATTTTTTGTAGGAGTAGGAGTAGGAGTAGGAGTAGTAGTAGTAGTAGTAGTAGTAGCAGTAGTGGTTTGTAGTAGCAGCAGCAGCAGCAGCAGCAGTAGTGGTTTGTAGTTGGTAGTACGTAGTCAGTAGTTATAAGCTAGTAGTAGGTAGTAAGGAGTCAGTAGTAGTAAGTAGCAGTCATACTTGTTGTCGTAGTCGTAGTAGTAGGAGTAGTCATAATAGTCGTAGCATTGGCCCCTGCTCGCTGTCATACTCGCAAGTACTTACACACCTTCACTCTGCATAGTACTTATACCACGTCTTAAACAAAAGCTGTAGCTCGTCGTTGTTTTTTTGCGCCCCAGAATGCATGTGTTGTTGTCCCTTCATCTTCTAGAACCTAGGACGGTTCAACAAGTCCAGCTATGAAACCAACATTCCTTCAAACCTTCAACTTTAGCCCTGGGCCTTGTCCCCTCATAGTTTCAGATTCATAAGGTGTTAAAGTATGTTACCTGTTCTAGTTTCTACAAACAATCAACAACAACTACAACAACAACAAACCCTGCTACTGCTACTGCTACTGCTACCACTCCTACACTACTCCTACTCCTACTCCTACTATATACAACAACAACAACAACAACAACAACAACAACTACAACAACAACAACAACAACTACTACTACTACTACGACCACCACCACCACCACCACCACCACCACGACCACGACCACGACCACGACCACGACCACGACCACGACCAC